ACGGGGGGGACTTTTTTTTGGGGGAGAGTTTTAGGGGGGCCCCTCCCCGGTTTTTTGGGGGAAACCCCATTTTTTTTGGGGGGGGGGGGGGGGGGGCGGGCACCGCGAGTGCTGATATAGAGAGGGCGATGGAGACCGAGGCGGTGACCTGTCCCAAGCGTCGACCGTTTCGAAAAGGATGGACAGGCCGGCGATGACGTCTTGGGGCAGGCAAAAACAATCCCTCCAGAGAAGGCTTCGGAGAGCTCAGAAAAATGTCGCCCTAGACGGACCTGGCTCTTGCATTATGAGCACGTGTAGTGTGATGGAGCGCTCGGGTAGATCGCCTCTTTGTTTCGGGAGACTCCCGCGAGAGAACAGCACGGGCAAAGAACCGATGAGAAGAACAGACAGATAGACATATATCCTCGAGGGTGTAGGAATGCGGGCGCCAAGGATTGTGAGGCTGAGCACGGGCGAACTGCGTTATGGAATTAGACATGAGGGAAGGAGAGGGTGCTTGCATTGCCTCCCCATCCCCGATTTGGTGAGAATGAGGGTTTTATGTTGTGTCGCGGCTTGTGTTTGTGTAGACCATGCATGAGACGTCAGTGCTGTCGGCGATTCTTCGCGTGTAGGGTGCCCGTAATCTAGCCGGTCGTTAGGCTGACCAAGTGAGTGTGTTGAAAGGTGCTTGGGGGTAAGCTCCCCCGCTGGATACCTTGCTACCCGGACGCAGTGATACCAAAGCAGGTACATGGGGTGTGTGTGATGTAGTTTACTCTTTATTTAGCGCAGCTCCCCGCGTACGATGGTTGACAGCGGTTGATGTGGCGTAAGGTAGGGAAGACCGCCGTAGAAACAAGTTTCCCCCGCTATGCTCCCCCCCGTGCCTCTTGCCCTCCGCTTTCAACGGGATGCGTGCGATAGGTTTGCCCGCGTGACATGCATTTCGAGTTTTTACATGGATGATGTCTCCGAAGGGCGATTTTGCGTGTTTTCGATGGTCTTGAAAGCTGCTGTCTGTTGGAGAGCTGTTGTTGTCCATGGGCGTGGGCCGCTAGACGTGGGTTTTAGTTTCATATGCGTGATAGATGCGGTGAACGCGGCTTGCTTGTTTTTATTGTCCCTTCGGTCTCTTTCACTTTGACCGTTTCTTGGTGCGCTTGAACACGTGCCGCAATCATCCCAATATATATTGGTGTACCTCTAAATAGCCTTTTTTTTTGTGAATTTAGGTGTCGTTTGAAGGTTTGATGTTGTGAAAGAAAAATCAGCATGTCTTTGTTGTTCGGTGGTCGTGCGTAAAAGCACAGGCACACCAACAAATTCTGTGAGACATAGACACATAACGAAAAATTGCGTAGCGGGTAGGCGATGCCCCTTAGTGGTTCGGAGGGGGGGTGTACGTTTGAGCATGCATGCTGATTTGAACGGCAAAAATGAAAAAAAAAAACACATGTGGGCTCTATTTTCGTGCTTTTCTTGTTCCGGAATCGACTGTCGGAGTTTTGATGTGGGTTTTGCGTGAGGTATACCAAAAGGGTACCGTATGTGCTTGTTGGGAAAGAGCGTGGGGGAGGGGGGTGCGCAAATTGTTAATATTTTCCCCGCAAACAGTGCCACAAACTAGGACCGGGTCGCAGCAGCTGTGCATCATCGTAGAAGGGCGAAGATTTCACGTTGTGGGGGAGCCGACAAGTAACAAGGGATGGCTCGATTAACGCGATAGGCCAGACGGCGTCCCCCTAACAGCCTGCTCTGCATGTAATGTGTGATTATCAGCGGGAGGTGAAACTTTTGTGAGGTTGCCAACGTCTCGCAGTTGGCGGCATCACGAGACGGCGAGTCCCGTCTATTTTTGCGATCGATTTTTTTGGGTTTCTTGCGTGGGGCGTGAATGTTTTTAAGTGCGGTGTGCGTAAAACCTGCTGACCTGCTGCGGTTTCTGTAGCCTGTATAGAGCTGCATGTGTGATATTGTGTGTATGTAAAACGGCAGCTCGCGAATCAGGAACAACGCTCTTTTGGGCTGTAGCATGCATGGCCCAAACGCTGCCACAATGCGCCCTCTTTGTTACTCGTGCATACGTAGATGGACAAACATTCTTGTGTGTTTCTTGTTACTCCCATTTCGCCGCCGTGTTCAGACGGCGGGACTTGTCCGTGATGTGCTGTCTTTTCTTGTTTCAGGCTTGGGAAGGGGGAGGAGGGGGGGGGGGGGTAGGTTTCTTGTTGTCGTTTTGTGTTTCCCGACCAGCAATTATTGACGTCTGCCGTTCTGTCTCGGAGACTCCTCGCAGATTCCTGGGCGAATCTCGGCTGAATGTGTACTGCGGGTAGACTCATGTTGTCGCTCTCAAACTCGCGTGTGCCGGCACCTGAACTTGGTACGTGCATGATGTGCATGATGTGGGTACTCCATATTAATGATGAATCACGAGGGACTTATGCATACGTCGCCGCGGTTGACTGGCTCTGCTCCCGCCGAACGCAGTCAATTTTTGCTAGTTCTCGCTAAATGTTCCCGAACGCACATCTTGCGCTGTCCACAACGGCAGGCGCTAGGCACCCCAAAAGCGAAGTTCTGCTCGTACAGCCTCCCACCCGTGACTTTGGGTGTGCAGGTGTATCCTAATAGTTTGAGCTCGACTGGTGCACCGAGGCCAAGAGTGGTACTGACAGTAGCATGCGTTATTCGCCGATTGCGGGCGAACGAACGCGTTTTAACAAACTTGTTCACGTTTCTGTGTCGGGCGCACATCATCGATATGCCTGAGGCCCGTTGTTATCAACGCTCGAGGCTTGGAGCGGACTATAGGGCGGAGACGGGTGTGACACCATTGGTCGCCATATGACGCTGAGGACGATTGTTTCTGCTTTGCCCGGCATCCATGTAAAAGCAAACGCAATGGCATCAGCTGCCATTCTAAAACCCGTCCCCGAAGAAACTGTTTCGCATGGCGTCTCCGGGGACACGAATACCCTCATGACGGATGACAAGTTCGAAGGAAATGGAACTGTAAAAGGATGTAGCCACGGAACCCGTTTGTTTGCGTTGGAAGAGTGCGGAAGAGAGGTACTGGATTTAGGTTGTTCAAAGTAGTTATGTAAAGATGGCGAAGGACGTCTATTCGCGGGCTACATAGTTCTGCTTTCCTCGTGAAATTTTCTGAGGCCCCTTCCTTGTGGTGGATTCGTTTTTTTTTGTTGTGCCAAGATTGAGTATACCCGCCAAGGAATTTTGGCGTGACTTTTTTTCCGACTGACACTTTGGTGTTAGAGTGGGTTTTCCATCGCCCCTCACTCGAACCAAAGTGAATTATCCAAGAAGTAACGCCGTGTGTTCCTGTCCACGTACTCGAATGTATGTGTACCCTACATTTGTTCCAGTTAGGATCCCGGAGCAATCTCAACCCTAACACCCAGAAACGGACCACGTAGTTGTACTTGTGTGCGCTTTTTCGAGATACCTCGGGTATCAGACGTTAATGTTTGTGCAGACTCCTCTCGGAGAGCCCTTCGACCTCCCCCTGTAGACAGCATCATACATGCCTGTGACGAAATTGTCGGAATTGTGTGGAACTTTGATGACGACGTCTAAGCGCCGGAGTTTCAGGATTCAACTGAAGAATCCCTGTTTCCGCTGCATCCTTTCGAAACGTCATTTATTTGCTGTTTACAGGCGAACAATAATAATAGCGAATGCCCCAAGAACCAAGCCAAGAGTGGTAGATACAACGACTTTATGAATACCGAGTAAGATACAACTGCGGGGCGGGTGAGTTGTGCAGCCCCGTCTGTCAGCCACTTAATTGGGGTTGTGAAACTGTCGACCATAGTAGAAATACGACATCGATTACAGTGGGAGAGGGATTTTGCCAGCCTATGATGATAATATGTTCAATAGTGGTACAAGGAAAAATCCCCTGTCAAGAACCCGAAAACCGGCTTTCACGGGGGTATGTTCAAAACACACCTACCTGCATGAGTCTGCGTCCAAAACGCCAATGCCTACCTCCTCCGCACTTTCACTTTGTTGTTTCACCCCATCCCCCCCTCTACCCTCCGCCTCCGAAATCCTTCCCCACGTCTTCACCCTCTTTTCTCCTATAAGTTTCCCATCTAGGGCCCTTCATCTCTGACGGAGACAGTGGAGGGTGCTTCAATCGTGCGCATGCCTTGTGCGACTTGACCTTCATCCGGTCCCCGTGCAGTCTCAAGAAAAAGTCCTTCTTGTCTCCGGTGACCGGATCTGCGGCGGCCCACCTCTCCTGGTGGTTCCCTCGAATGGACACCGTGAAGTCCTCGGGTTCTGCGAACGGTTCCAGGCTGAAGGCGGATACCGGAGCCGGGCGGAGGGGCGCCGACTTTCCGCTCGGCAGGCGCGCGTTCCGGACGATCTTGAAGGCGGTCTTGTTTATTGGCGGGTGCAGGATGTCCTTGGCACGGTCTGTCTGGAGCGGCGTGTCACGCACGTTGAGGTTCCCCACTCGAAAGTCCGTGTCGTCCACGACGACCTGATGCCATTCCACCAAATCACACGGGGACAAAAAAGAAGAATCGGTCAGTACAAGGATATCTTCGTCGGCGTTGACGCTCATTCTGGCAATGATACGGGCTGGCTCCTTGGATTCCGTTGCTTCTAGCCCAAGAGCTTGTCTAGCCTCAAAATGGGTGATCTGTTGCCCATTCCGTCAGCCTACACAGCTTGCTTCAACCCAACAGCAAGTAAGGGTACGTCTCCGAAAATATGTTGCAAACCAGCCCACAAAGGTATCCGGACGCTGATGGCGGTGCCCTTTCCGGCGGGTCGATTCGTCGGTGGACTTACATACGGTGGTTGACAACGTACCTCACCCCTCCGAAAAATGTTTCGAAGTCGTTTTCGTTACGAATCAACCTAAAGTTCGCAGTTGCACGAAAGTCCGAAGAATACCTGGTTTATGTTGAGGACGAAATCAAGAACGATCTGATCCGTCTTGGGGGCAAGACGGAACACCACACGAACAAGCGAGTGCACATACCAAGTGGGCAGTAACATGCAGCATACGCGTGCGAGTATATCTACCGTGGCAGTGAGCTTGCCTTGCTTCGCCACAGCTCCTCCGTCCGCCGCTTTTCTTCCTCCTTCTCGCGTGCCAGACCCTCTCCCACGAGGTGAACGCTTCGAAAGAACTCGGGGTCCTTGTCCAGCTGGTGACGCCCTCTCGGTAACCGGGAACGGCTACCGATCAAATTGGTGTCGAGCGGTCGCTCGTACTTGGAAGGCTGGTTTTAAATGTCGAACCAACATGCGCGCGAGAGGTAGTATGTAGGTCGGGCGAGTGGGTAAGTGGCGAGATTTTACCACGCATCGCATCAAAATCCTATGCCCGACCCTCCAAGTCCCACGGAAATGCATGTTGGATTTGTGGGTCTGAAAAAACGGCAATAAACAATACAAAAAACACGGTACTGAATGGGAAAACACTAGTAAAAGTTCTTCCAGTGAGTGAAGCTGCCTCTGCCACCATTCCTTTGCGTGCAGTTTTTCGCGGGGGATTAAGCTTAAGACATTATCTTTCGATTTGTCCCATCAACACGGCGGTACTAGCTGACCCGCCGGAGGAGTTAATCGGGCGACGCCTGGAGTCGGTGTCCAAAAGTCGTCGTACGGAACCCATGGCATGCACCCCTAAAGCAGACCTTCCATGGCTTCCGCCTTCAGTAACCAAACGCTGCACCTCAACGGGGCATGCCGAGCACAGTTTCGAACTCGAACACCACCATTCCCTCGGTGGTTTACTTCGGGCACGCCTGATGGCTTCGTGTTCGCCGCAACACATGCCTCACATTCATCATGGAAAGGGTCCTTCTCCTTTCCAAGTCGAACACGATGCCATTGCCATTTTGAGACTCGTTGCCTAGCACCCTCCGCGGTCGCCAGCAAGCACCGCCTTATATCAACCGTAACAGCAACACGTCTCCGCATGTGTGCGTATCATCCAAGAACAAATGAACCGGCAAGTCTTTTACGTGTATATATCGAGGCTATCGCCCTACCTTCAGCCCTCCGAACACGGCCTTTCCGTTCGACGGGACGGTATCGAACTCCCGCCTCCACGCCAGCTCCGGCGGCCCGCCTGCGTCTCTTGCCCCTGCCATTTGCTCTTTCATGCCACCGTTGAGTTCGTTCTCGATCCACGGCTCCCTCAGCGTGTCTATACGACTTTCGCTGGGCTTGGAAGGGTGGGTAATGAGCTCTTGGCGCGTTCGAGGGCACGGCCACACAAACCCTCGATTCGTTTTCCACGCTGCTCTGCTAGCGGCCTTTTAGAAGGACGGGTCGTGCCACGAGGGGTCGTGATGGGGGCGAGCGGTGAGACAGGGAGATATGAGTCTGCAGGAGATAAGAGGGGGTTCTGTGTGCCGAAGGCTTGATTTCAGCCTTATGGACTCGAACGTGTTTTTGCTCTGTGGCCTACCGGAGGTTGCGAGCAAACTGTAGCTGTGTGTGGGGCGGAAAATTCGAAAAGTTCTTCAAGCGACTACTCTTCTGGAGATTGTACACCGTGAACCGAGACTCGACCATCCATTGCGGAAATACTTCACACTTTCGGAAGATATTGAATGGGCAAAGACCAAGGGGTAGCTTTCTTTGTAGAAATAGATTTCTCTGTACAGGTATCGGCCCCCCTTTTAAAGCGAAAAAATGTTGTAAATGAAGCTTTGATCCCTAGTCAAGCGAATCTTTAGTGAACAAAGAATTTGTTGATCGGTGGGCGTCCACCACTTCGAAACAACTCAACAAGTAATTACCAGAAACTAGCAAACAACCAGTGGGATCGAGCACGCGACCAAGCACGTCTCCTTGTCCTGACTTTGGGAGGGGAAGATAACCGTTGTAACGTCAAGATTCGTTTTCACCTCCTCGTCTTCTTTAACGCGGAACTCGTCCACTAGACTGACGGTCTGGCTCACGTAGTCCATGCTGTACGTGTAAGTGGCGCCCTTCTCTTTTGCCAGCCTTTCTCTCATCTCCGCCTGAACAGCAGATAAAACGCAAGGTGCGCGCCATCATTACTTGGATAATTCGCTTGCTTTGGGTTTTGTCACGTGATCTGTTTGCTTCCGAAGTACTTTGGAATACTGTAACTTATTACTCAATTTGCTGTCTCACAAGCGCATCGTTGCGGAAATTGGCTGTGGCAGGCTTCGTTCCAACGTTGGGGCTACCAAGATCCCTCCGAATCCAAAACGAGATGTTTTGGTGGAGCGCAGCGACTACAGAACGCAGACAATGGGTTGTACATGGGTCGTAGTCACCGATTCACTTGCCTTCTTCAGCTCGACATAGTTCAGTTTCTGAGGGCCGTAGCACCACTCCGTGCGCACTGTCTCCCCCCTGCGCTCCTCGTCTTTTCGCCTCTGTCTCTCTACGAAACTGTCATGATTCTTCGCCAAGATCTCGTCCTGATTTGTTAAACGCGACGGCACACAGACAACAAGAAGGTATGAAGGGCAGGCGAACTGTGTCTTTTAATCCCGGACGAACACCTAGTCTCGTTGTACGTGTTTCGTGACAAAATCAACGATATATGATGTCTTGCTTACGCGCGAGATGTTTGGTTGGACAGACACCGCTCAGCTCGTATCACTGAGCCCTACGTAAACATGGAGGCGAGTGGTTGAACCACGTCGTACCCTTGGTAGCCCCACCTGGGCCATATGCCCTCCCCACTGATCAGTTCCCGGTGACCAGTCTAATCACCTGTTCCGCCAAGAAGTCCCTCGGTCGCCTACCCCTCAGCCATTCCTCGAAGGCTAGGTTTGTAGAATCTGTCGGGGCCTTCCGCCTGGCCGGCGCTTGCTTGCCCATACTTAGGTTACCCTCGCCTTCCCCTCCTGCTACGCCGGGCACGGTGGCGGCGTTTTCTGCGTTTGTGGAGACGGTGGGAGTGGATTCTACAGCTGGTCCGTCTCCAGCGGCAGGGTTTCCTCGTCTCTTCTTGACGGGGTTCCGCCCAGTGATGTCCTTGACGGACACGGACTCCCCGTACTTGCTCTCTACCTGTTGAGTCGTAGACTAGTTGTGTTTTGAAAATAGAACAAGGCTGTGATTTTGCGCGCGACCTTCAAAAAGAACGCGGCGTTCGTTGTTTGCATGTTGTACCGCGCGCTCGGTCTCGCGGCGACCCCACCATTGCGGTGCATCGCACAACGTACTCGAATGTACTACAGGGAGCACGCTATTTGCTCTACGCTGCTGGATCTGTGGGCGATGCTCCGAGCTGAAGGTCTCTGTGAGACTGGAGGCCGCCTTCGCATACCTGAATAAGTTGAGCACCCTCGGGAAAAAGGCCCTGTTCCGCGGCCTCCCGTAACCTATCCACCTTTCGAAGCATCCGTAGGCAGTGGAGAGCGTCGAAGCAGTCGGCGCTGACCTTGGAACGGTCATAAATTTCTGGGTTCTGGCAGAGGGTTGGTAGCGGGTCTCGCAATCGCACCTTTCAACGTGGACACCCGCCAATAACCACACGGAAAGACAGGCCAAACGTTGCGGGTCGTTTGTCAATTCCTTCCACTTGGTCGTATGGCGTACAATATTTACCTCAAATTCGTGCGCTCCGACTCGAAATGCTAGCGTCGTCGAGAGGGATTGTTCAGAAGTAGTCGGCCAGTTCAATGTGATCGAAGTAACAGAACATGTAGGAACAAGATAAAACCCTCAGCTTCAAACGAGGACGTCACTCAAGGCGACTGCGTCTTCCCAATAGCTTAAATCTACAATTACAGCACCTCGTAGAACTTGCAAAACAGGCCTGCGGGAGTAGCTTAAGAGAATTGTGTTAAATACTGAGGTGTATGGTAGTCACCCATCGCACTTACCTTCTTCAAGTCAGCATCGAAACAGGTGTACATCCGCCTTGAGAACCTCACTTCAGGGTTCTCCAGCGCTCGATACGCCTGCCCGTTTGGCCTGGTGCGCCCCACCTTTTTCAAGAGTGCAGTGAGTCCTCCTTGGGGCCCAGATAACCCCTCTAGCACCATCGTGCGACTGTCTTCGTCGATGATCATGAAACCGCACACGATGTCCAGAGCGCCGTCATTTGCCGCTTGCTTCTCCTGAGGATATCCCAATAAAACGTGCGAGATGCTGTGCTCAGCGTATGCACGCTAGATCACACAACCATATTAAGAGGCTGCAGCTCTGGAACACCTTTCCACCACAACAATGTTGACAAGTAGAGAGAAATGCATCAGCATGGCCTTCATCTGGGAGGCAGCCACGCTCCAAAGAATCGTTGCCGGCGCTTGCTGTCTGTAGTTCCACCATCAGTCTCTACAAAGTGATGTGCGTGGCATTTTTGCTTCTCTTCTGTGAACATTTCTGAACATTTCCCATCCGATTTTCTTGTCGCAAGCATGAAGTGGTTGCGAAGCAAAGGATTTGATAGTCACAAACACGGACAAGGTTGCAAAGGAACCTTTGTAGATGATCTACCTTCTCGGCACGAGAACTAAGGGAAGGCATTCAGGCTTGCACTTAAAAAACTGCAAGCGAAGAAGGACAACAAACGACCCACCGCATGTGTTGTCTCCTACCGAATGTACATTACCTCTGGAGAGAGAACGTACGCCCGTAACGAGCCCTGAATGTTGTTCAAGGCGCGGCCGTTGATGTGGTCCATCGCCGCCGTAACATCTCTTGTGAGAGCCCCCCCCTCCTCGTACTCCATAACAAAAACCGCCCGCGAAAACGGCCTGGGCTCCTCTGTTGCCGGCCCGGTGCGCTCCGCTGAGCCCTCCTCCAGAGTGCGGAGAGGCCTCGCTAGCGACAGTCTGCATAGATTGCGTGGTCACGGATATGTTCACGGATGTGTTTCGCGCGTTCGAAGTCCGTCAGTGGTCATGCAACGAACAAAGACGCAGCGTACTACACTGATTACTAGCAGCAATGGTCACCCGCCCGCTCGGCTTGTTCAAGCTCGCGCAGTGCGCGGCACCATTGAGCAGAGCTAGAGCACACATGCGCACACCCATTGCCGTTCACTTCGATTCGCTTGCCTGACTCCAACCGAGGATCCCGCCTCAAGGTACGCGCCGGGCCAGCGCACGAAGCGTTCCTCGTCCGACAAGTGCCAGTCCTCGACCCCTCCCTTGGGGATCTCCCGCCGTTTCCTCTGGCAGATCTCAGTTCGCATCTTTAGCCGCGGAGCCACATCCGTGATCGCCGATGGAACTGCCGACGTAGCTGTGCTGGCGTCGTCTTCTAGTTTTCGCTTGCTGTTGCTGTACGCCATCACCAGCTGGCGGCTCTGGTCGAGGAGCCCCGAAAAGTGGAAGGAAGCCACGCCGTGCGCGTTGTGTTTGCCCGCCGACCCCGCCTCGGCGATAGCTTCCCTCAAAACTAGCTCATCCACTTCATAAATATCTCTTGGCCCCGCGCACCTTCAAGACAGAGAGTTTTGATGACACTTGCGTGGGCTGATTGGTCGTGGGTAACGACTCTCAAATCGATTGAACGTCCTGACAAGGCGGATAATTCGAAGAGCTGTTATTACAACGATAACATGATGAACTTACTTGACAGGAGTCGGTTCCTGACCCGCGCACGTATCAGCTTCTCCACTATCAGTGTTTGCCTTGATTTGAGAAGCGTCCCCCGGTGAGGAGTCGCACGCGTCGTCCTCCTCAGGATACCCACCAGAGACCATGCGTTCAAGTCTCAGGACCTTTTCCTCTTGCTCTTTGGTGGAAGGGCGAGGGTCTCTGTGGGTGGAATACATAGTTTTGCAACCGGGATAGAGGCCCATTTGCAAGGGTACGGCAAGTCGAAGACGGCCTCGGGCAAAAGTATGTAGTGGATGAAAAGATCCTGTGTCGAGAAGTTGCTCTCGAAAAGCTTGGCGTGCGAAGACGTCGACTCGGGGCGACGTGTTCTATCGCTGGACTGATTCAGAATTGACAGGGGATCTGTGCGAGAGTCTGTTGGTGTGATGGGGGTAACCAGACACTACAAAAAAACTGTCGCCTATTCTTGAAGTTGCATGGGTACGGCCGACCTGCCTCGAACAGATAACTGGTCATAGAGAAGCTCTTGCCTTGATGCAGATGCCCAACACATCTCAACCGCCAACAATGGAGTACACGGAGCAAAGACAAAGGAGTTGCGGTTTCAGTCGAGTCGCTTACATGGTATCCTGTGGGTAAGCACAGTATTTACCTTTCGCCCTCTTCACGTTCACCAAGTGCGTACGTACCTATCATGAACCTCCACAGACAGCAGGGAATGCTCCATCCAGTCCTCCAATCGATGGCGATCCATTTGACCAACAAGAAATGACGTGGTGTGCTCGAAGTGCGCCTTATCTCGCTGGGCTGATCCCGCTGTCCACAAAATGCGCGGATGAAGTGACTCGCCCAAGGGACCCTTCGGAAATGGTCGGCATACGATGTATACCGGCTTGCAGTGAAGCTCCAAAAGCTTAAATTTGGTTGGTTTCACGTGGGCCTGGAGTGACTCGGCTTCGATTTTTACTCCCGGCAGCGACACCGCCGATGAAATTTGTATCGAGAAAGGGTTCAGGCGCTCCATTGCTTCGGCCGAGAAGAGCTTTCGCTCAAGCCTTTCGACTGACTTGCCCTCCGCGGTGGTAGTGACATCGCCTGCTGCTGATCCGGGGTGAGCTATTTGCCCACCCTCCGGGGATTGGTTTGGGTCTCCACCCACCACTGGATTTGCAGGTCCTAATCCAGGTAGAGACACGGATAACTTGATGTGCCGTATTCCTTCTGGTGCCGGGGGGGCGTCCACTACCTTGCCGTTGTCAGGAGTCTCTTCTGGGTGCCAAGCTATACCACCGGAGGATGATGGCAACCTCTCCCCTGATAAAGACGTTTTACGAGTTGAGTCCTTAGCCTCATGAGTTTGGCCACCACCGCCGACGTTGACGGAAACGCTAGTCTCGCCCGCAAGGAAGGCGCTGAGATCAAGCGGCCACGATTCAATGAAATTGCGTCCTGGAAGGATTTGTGCGGCTTCGCCGATTTTGTTCCCATCATTGTCTCCTCCTTCTACCAGACCTTGTCCTGGAGGTTGTGCAGTTGCCCCGCGTAAGGACTTGTCTGCGAGCGTGACTAACATGGTCGGCTTCTGGTCAAGTGTAAGGGCGACCTGTGCAACAATACGAGCACCAGTGACAACGGGAATATGACTGTTGTACAGACTGTACACGTGCACAAATTATGTCCAAGAAATTGTAATTATCCGATTTAGGCCATGCTCACTCTACACCATGCGATATGACGCCTGCTGTTAAAACCATGCGCATACGTTAACCTAATTGACGAGCTGCTGAGCTGGATGGATAGATGGTCGCGAAGAACATTGATAGTTCGGGTTGTATCCACGGCATGCGCATGATCAACATGTGGATCATGCGGTCTCCGAGTTGTTGACCCCCCCTGTGTATATGAACCACACCTCGTCCTCGTCTGCCCCTTGCAGCTGATGTGTCCTTGTATACCTCCATACAATGGGCTCGAGAGGCCCTTCGTTGGCATCTGGCTGTCTGTCTGCATCTGCAGCCCCAGCAGGTTCCTTGGCCGCCGTTGTGGACTGCTCCGCTTCTTGCGCATTTTCGCTAATGTTTGCAGCAGGATTCAGTCTGGTCCACGAAGAACCAGGGAGGCCGATCGGCGGGGTAGTGATTCTTTCACCGTTTATGAAAGTATATCTAAACACAGGCTCCACAAGAATCGACTCGTTGCCCTGTGCAACATCGTCGCCACTTTCACTGCCACGGGAGGTCGCCGTACGACCGGAGGGATCGACTAACAAGGACACTTCGAGCACGAGGCACAGGCAGTGGGGAGTGCCCGGAGCCGGTTGGGGAGGTTCATCGATCACATTGGGAACGGCCCCAGCACCCTTCGCTCCCTTTTTCCCCTTATCTTTGCCCTTGGGTGGCATGGATCTACCTCAGGGTGGCTACCTGCGGCTGTTGGAGCGCGCCCTTGGACTCGCGTGCACATGAAAAAGCAGAAATAAGAAGTTGCATCACACGTTACAGATGCTTCGGAAGTCCCTACGAACACCTGTACAATACGCGGATCCCCCTCTTGCCGTTGCGCCGCCGTCGACGCTCCGACCACTCTGACTCCACACAGCAGTCACACTGGGCTCGCAGGTGAAGAGCATGGAGGGGTCCAACAATGGACCACCAGGAGATACCAGTGATGTACCATCCACACCCAGAGCTTGCAGGACTCCGGAGGCCGCCCGCACCCATGTGGATCTGACCCGCCGTGCCCGTGGCAGTAGAAGTGCAACAACGATTGTGCCGCATTCAAACGAAGGATCATGCCCTCGAAGAGACATTGCTCATCAAGGAGTAGTAGAAGCAGCGACGCCACTGGTTGATGGAGGGGTCGATTCTGATATTTCAGCTGACCGCCCGGGGCACGGTTGTGGCCCTGGTCATGGTTTAACGGGAGTGCCTGCTGCTGTTTCGACACTTCGGTCCGCAGTCACAGCGGAAACAGGAGAGGATCACAGCAGACTCGGTGAGTCGGAGAGGCGCCTTTGTTCCTGCCGCGTGTACCAGTCCCACCAAAACCATTCCGCTTGTCTTCGGGTCAAGCTCATTGGAGACTGCCAGACTCAACATAATGGTTGAGTTGCTGGTGCTGTGGAGTTTGCATATTTTGAAAATGTCCACAGCAGCGACGTTCTGTGTACCGTGAAGTAAACATGCCAACATGCTGCTGTGTACTCAGTGCAACCTTCCGCCGTCGATGTGTTGTGTAGTAGCCGTCAATCAATTATTTCCGTCTCAACGATTCAGACACGACTGCAATGTAGAATTGTCCCCCAATGCAGACCGACGTACGCAAGAACTTTCCTGCCTTGAACGCTGTCTTTGGCTCCAATTCGACCAATACACGCCGATAAGAACGTGTCGTATTATTATCCACTTCGTATTTGCGCACATTGCACGGATGACTGTGATCCCTGGTAGGTCTCATGTGGCCTTATTGTATGCGATCACACGCTGACCCTACTATCCAAGTAGCGAACTGGGGAGGCCATGTATAGTAGAGTGCAGTTTACGCGAGCCCGTTCGAATATGTAAAGCTTTGGTTACAGTAGTTCAACACAAGCCTTTTGAGCTGGAGCAATAGGCACAGTCAGTCGGGTGCCCGCTCTCTAGACTACCCCTTTTGGAAACGCTGTAAACCTTTCAAGCCAAGGTGCCCTCTATGCTGCAGGCCTCGGCCAACATGGCACGTTCCACCTTGACCTTCTTGTTCGATTAGCGGCAAGAGGGTCTTGGGTCTACAGTCGAAACTCTGCTAGCGAGCCTCACATTTTACGGGCGATTCCTCTACTGCCGTAAGCAAGGTCGTTTTTTTCAGATGCAGGAGGACATGCAGAATAGGTACGGGGTCTAGCATCAGGAGGCAATCTGACGTGTCTAAAAATCCTCTAGAGGGCGAGAAGGATAGTGTCATCATCGACAACCTTCGCGGCACGTCGCGAAGATGTTGATGCCACCGAACGTAACAGATTCCATTCTCATGCCCCAAGTGTTGGCGGTCGATTTCTTCGTCGAGAAACTCGTAGACTTCACTGCGCCTGGTATGCAGTGATCAAGGGTGGTTCTTGTAGAAGGTGACTCGGGGGCATTGGAAGAAGAGGTAGCAATGAAAACAATGCAGGCTGTAGATTAGGGCCTGTCCAACGAACAAGTTGATAACATATCGAGAGAAGAGGACGACGGCGGCAGCGGCGGTCGGCTATTCGTCATGCATTCCGTCGCCTCTTCAGAGGTCCAGGTTCACTCTGGTTTTGAGGACGTTCGCCTCTTTTTGTACGCGAAGGAAGGAATTTTGAGTACAGGGAAACACACCTGCCTGCGCTCGAGAGCAGTGCCGTCGTTCACGCATGACACCCAAGAAAGCGTAGAAGGAGGGGGGGAGGTGCGGCCAACACCTAGTGACATTCGATACATGGTATGTGAGCACGAGTTGCTCGCCACGATATGCTGTCCTGCAGCATACCGAAACGTCCTGCCAAAAGGCGTGTTGTTTGAGGTATAGAACATCTTCGTTACCCCCAGTTACTATCCATCCGTTACGGATATGTTTAGACTCGAACACCTATGGGTCCTTATTAACGGGTCGACTGTAGACGCTTTCCCAGCCTGCTTTATCCCTTCACTTGTCCGCTTTGTTGACCAACCCTATCTTGCCATTCCGACTGTTTCCTCGCCAGGCATTACCACCAGCGCTCGGTCATCAAGTGAGGCCGCCTCGCACCCATACTTCGCGCGAACGGGTACGGCTGAATGTAGCGACAGCGCTCCCCTACGTGTCACCAGAAGCATTAGCAGCCGGAACCGAAGAGCTGCATCGATGTCTTCAACCCGTCCCGTGGTGCCCACCGCACGTGGGCTAGAACTTCAGAGTTTGATTCCTCGTACGCTGTCCGCGCGGGCGTCAACCTCGTCGCTGTCCACACCTCTTCCCGGGGCTGGTTCAGCCGACACGCCTCGCCGAAGAGATTCAGCGAGGGATTCTTGGTCTCCGTCTTCGTCGCAGCAGCAGCAACAACAGCCACAACAGGATCGGCAGAATCATCCCACGGCCTACCCGCATAGAGTCCCGAACCGCCACGGAAGGTCGGACGGCGGTCGAGCTAGTATACGCCGTTTGGCCGGGGGCGGTAGAGATTCATGGAGGACGCCAGCGGTGGCATACAGCGCGGTCGTAAGGGGGACGGGGCGGGATACCACGGCGCTGAGGGCAGTGTCGGCACGACTTGACGCGGCCTCAACCGCAATAGATGCCGTAGAGATAGGTGTGAGATCGGCATCGGATAGCCTGGATTCTCTCCTACAGCTGTTGGAATCCCGGCATGGACCAGCGGTGTCGCAAACGTCGCTTCCATCGACCAGTGCTGAGGTGGATGCGTTCGAGAATGGATCTGCTGGCCCTGGTCCTTCTTCCCGAGGAATAGGAGAAGGAGGGCGAGCAACAGCATCATCTGGCTCGCAAGCGTCCGCTGATGCAATGTCTACGCGTTCGCCGAGGATTTCAATTTCACCGCCGGCTGTGTCCCTGCCTACTTCTTCTTGGTTGATGGCAGGGGCTTCGTCAAGCGCACTACCTGACGAGTTCAGTGTTTCAACCCCGCCGTCGCAGCCGATAGGGCCTCCAGGGCACGCCAACAGAGACGGTGCACCCATCGTTGCCCGGGTGCCAGAAGGCGGCGGAGGGTCGCGTGCGGCCAGTATGCTGAGACGGGAACAACAAGCAGGTTTGACTACATTCAGCAACCCAGAGGCTGGGGAACATCTTTGTCGGTCGACTGCTGTCTTGCCGAGGCAAGATGGTGGAGCACAAGAAAGCTCTGTCGCCACTGGAGACGCGTCGATTGACGAGACGAACGAGGAGCATAGCACGCGGACGAGGTCGGGTCAACATTTGACCTCTGCACTTGCGCTACCGCGCCCGGTGTCCTCGCCAGCAGCACAGGAACTTGTTGAGGAGGTCAACAGTAGTAGGAGGACGGCGGAGCGAGAAACAAGCGAAAGCCATGGTGTCGGAATGGCGGGATCGGCTACCGCGGGACAACACCTTCCCGCAGACATCGACATTGGTGGGACAATGGAAGCAGCACCTACTGACCTCGCTGCCTTAAGAACGCTCGGCAGTGACAGGACTCCGTCTCTGGACAGTGGGCCGCGCTTGGTTCGAGAAGCTGGGAGCAGACGGGCGTCTCCGCGCGGGATGGAAGGAACGGGCAGCGGTGCCGCCTCTTCAACACGTGAGGCAAACGCCGGCGAAACCTCCGGCCGCGGTGACATGGCTCTCCCGGTCCGGGAGCTAGAAGCAGCTATGAACGGCATCGATACCGAGCGGGGGAGGCTAATTTTGGAGATCGCTCGTCTCCGTGGGCAGCAGAACCAATCTCTAGTCCACCTCCATCGCCTCCAACACGAGCAGTTTGTCGTGCGCCAGCGGCAGGTGTCCACCCTATCCGACATTGTCAACAGCTTTGGTCGAACCGTGGCGGCGGCGGGCGCGCTCCCTCACGGGGAGGACTCTTCTCTGGGGCGCATCAGCAGCGACGTTGTGTCCACGCTGCGGCGGATGCTCCGTCTCTTGTCTGCGACGGTCCCCGCTGCGACTGCTGCACAGTCAGCCCCGGGCAACTCTCCCGTGCTGACGACGACGTCTTCAGTACCCGATGGCGCCCCGCCCCCCGCGCCCAACGCACCACGTCCCGCCGCTGTACGAGAAGGACAGGCAGCCAGTGGCTCCGCCGGCACTTACTCCGTGGGAGGGCGGGTAGCGCTACGGCCCGCCGGAGTGGACCTCACGCAAGAGGTGATCGATGCCGCTCTCCAGGCGCTTCCCAGATTGGCGGCCGCGGCGACGGCGATATCGGGTGCAAGCCGCATGCAAGGATACCTTGCGGACCTGGCCGGTGGTGAAGCAAGCGATACCGCGGGGCGTAGGAGCGACTACACTGGTCGTTGCTGCTCAAAAGAGACTATTGCCGCGCTCCCGGATGCCTCTCAACCCGTGGAGGGGGCTGTTGGAGAAGTTGACGGCGGTGGTGTTCGGGGGTGCGTGATCTGCCTGTCGGAGAATGACACGGCAGGGCAGCACCTCTGTCGCCTCCCCTGCAACCACGTCTTCCACAGGGTCTGTGTTGGGAAGTGGCTCTCGATGCAGGATTCGTGTCCGACCTGTAGGAGGCAAGTGCCGAATGTCGAAATTGGCTCCACTCTCGCAACTACGGCGCCCCCCCATGAAGTGGCGTGAACTTTAACGTTAGCGATATGTGTCTCTCTGTCAACGGTACATGCCCAAAGGACTGTAAGTTAGAGGTGGTTTTGTTTTGGGCGTCTTCGCGGGCATTGACATGTGTTAACCTGTCTGCGTGTGTCGATGTGCATCCTTTTTTGCATATCTGAACTCAAGTGTGCTTGCATCTGTGCTCGCGTCTGTCTTCGTACTTTACTGTGTACGTGCTTTTCTATTCTGTATGTTGTACCTGGTACGTCGTGAACAATATCGGAGACATTGTAGATTGGTGAGCTGTCCTGCGTAGCTTTCGTCGGAATCACGATCTTTTGTGTAGATTTATATGCATGTATGCATATGCATACGCGTACCTGTTTCGGGTGTTCGACGCCCTCCCCATGGAGGCCCACATCCACCTGGTCTTTCAGTCCAGTGGTGTTGACCGCGCCACTTGTGTCAATATGGCAAGAAGAATCGGTTGGGCTGGGGATGCACCCGTGTTGTCCCGCCTAAACAGCGTGCTTGGAAAAAACGATTTCCTACAGGAGGCCGATCTCCTGGCTCTTGAAAGATATACTTCGTATGCCACTGGTGGTCAGCGGTTCGCTGTCCGTAACGAGAAGTATGTGGTAGCAACGTTGGTCGGGGGAATGGTGAATGCAAGCTTAAGGGTTGGACCCGCGGCATCATTCCGACGACATGGCGTATGTCCTCCATATCGAACACCTAGCACTTTCTCTCGTCAAACTGTCCGTTATACTGTACCGGTACGAAAGAAGTAGTTCATTGCCCCAAATATTGAATCGCTGATCAGACTCTCAAACGGCCGAACCACACATCATAAGGTTCCTTCATATTTCCCCATTGCTCGAGCCAGCTGCAGGGGGCGTTTTTTGCGATGTGGTCAGCTCCACAGTACGTACGTTGGGGAAATATGTGTTGGCTACTGTACGTGCATTACTCGGCTGCACTTGGTCTACTATAAGCTCTTTGCAACAACCAGAGAGTGATGCAGCTTTTCTTGAACACATAATCTACGGCACGAACACCAGCCTAAGAAGCATGTGATGCATTGGCGTAGGCACGTCACCTGTCCGTCCCTACTAGACCACCGCACACGCTGAAACACGAACACTCCTTTCACATGTTGGGTTCTACTGTACACATCGACGTTCGGAACATGGGCTTCTTGTCAAGGGCCATTCAGAGAAGTCAGGCACCGCCAGAACCGCGCGCCCCTCCTCCAGCCATGGCCAGGACTTGCTTTTCCAGCAAGCGGAGAGTACTCATCACATCTTCGCTCCCTGGTCGCTTGCCTCCATCGCTGGATCTCTTCTTCTGCTCTTTGTGGCGTCTTACCGCCTCCCGCGCAGCATCGGCATCGGCGGTTGCCAGAGCCCCAGCGCCGAATACCGAGGGTCCTTGGCTGCGGAACAACTCGGCGACGGAAGGGTGCACCCACTCCGTGGTGGGAGAAGTACCCCCTGACCCTGCATAGGTCACCTTTTCAAGGCCTGTATTTTTGACGCCTGCGTGTGCGGGGTAACACATAAGTGGAAGGGGAGGGTATCTCGTTTGCCGGTCTTGTACTAGTAGAGGGTGGAGAAGACAAACACCTAGTGGGCAGCGGCGGCTTTCCGGGGGGGGGGGGGGGGGGGGGGGGGGTCCCAAAGGGGGCCCCCTTTTTTTTTTCTCTGGTTTTTTCCCGGGGGAAAACCCCCCTTTTTTTTTCCCCTAATTTTTGGGGGGGGCCCCCTTTTTTGGCCCTTTTGGGGGGGGGGGCCCCCCCCAAAAAAATTGGGGCCCCCCGGGGGGCCCCCTTTCCGGATTTGGGGAAGGGAACCCCCCCCCCCCCCTATTTTTTTACCTTTCCCGGGAAAACCCCCCCCCCCCCCAAAAAATTTTAACTTTGAAAAAGGGGGGGGGGTTTAACCCCGGGGGGGGGGGTAAACCCCAATTGTTTTTAT